CTCCAGTCTCTTAACCAATTCGCTAGTGATGCATTTGAGTTGTTCCCAAGTCTTCTCTACTGCACACTAAGCACTTCATTTACTTAGTTCTTCTATCCCTCACCCCACCATTCTCATCCTGCAGTGCTGGAGGAGGAAGCGCCGCTCGGAGAGGGCCAGGGACTCACCAGGATCGCTGAGCCGCACGCGGCAGGCGGGAACGCGGCCCGGGCGGAGCCCCGCGCCCTGCCACCCGCAGCCCGGAGCTGAGGAGGGGGCGGGCGAGCGGGCAGCGGGCGCGCTCGGATTTCTGCCCAGGAACCGAGCGAGCGGCCGGGCGGAGGGCGACCCGAACTCCTCCCGGCACTTCCCCGCAATGGGCACCCCTAGGCCTCCATCACTGGGCACCGGACCCGGCCCGGAGCCACGCGCTCACCACCCACGTCCTCCCAGGCGTTCCCAGTTCCGTCGCAAGACCAAGACGCCGGAAATCAACGCGGTGCAAGCCGGGAAATCTCGCGGCGCATGCGTGGGGCAGACCACAGAAGGCCGACATTTTTTTGTAAGCCTACCGTCTTCAGAGGAACGGCCAATCAACCGGAGAGTTCCCAGTGATGGCCAATCAGAAGGAAGCGACGCCAGGTACGTCCTAGCCGGGCACCTGGGATGCAGGGTTGGTGTCTTCTTTTTCACCGGCTGAGTCTTCCATCTCGGTTTTTTTGTTCAGTTTCTCTGCGCCTCTGGCCTCTGAGGGCGGTCAGAGGAGTCGAGCTCTGGCGTGAGCAGACGAGACAGCGCCTGGCCCCGCCGGCTCCGCCAACAGGGATGCGCTGAGACTACTCTTCGTACCGCCCAGCTCTCTGCGCTCTAGGGAGTGTGTGGAAGGCCGAAAGGGCCCTGGAGCTCGGTCCAGGAACACCCGTTTCCAGCCTCTTGGGTCCCACCCTCTCCCAAGTATTTAGCTGCAGGTCGGCATTTGGAACCCACCCAGCGTCTCCGTGGTAGAGAGACCTGGCGATCTTCTCCCGTAACGATTACAGCCTGGAAAACGCTATGGGGCAGTTTTACTCTGTCGCATTGGGTCACTAGGAGTCTAAAATCGGCTGGACCATGCAACGACTGAGGAGCGTTGGGCTTCTAAGGAAATACCATCCAGAGGCGTGCGCGGAGCCTCCTTGTTGCGGTTCTCCGTGTCGACAGGCGTGAACGCTGACCCAGGAGGATCCCCGAGCTACTCCACCGGCCGCTTCACCTTTGGGGAGCTGAAGGAGCGGCGAGACTGTTCTCTTCCCCATGCAGTTGGATCCACTCCCACCTTTTCCACTCCTCTATCCTAAGATTTGAGGCTCCAGTTCTTTATCTAGATAGAAAGCGCTTTGTTGTTGTTTTTAATTTTGCATGTATTGTATGCTTAGCGTAGAAAAAAAGGTAAGAATATGGGAAAATATAAAAGTATACCTCTTGATTTGCATTGGGCATGTCTGCTGCAGAAGACTTCTTTAGTGTTAAAAAGCAAAGATGTCACTTTGAGGACTAAGATGCTCCTGACCCATGCCATGGTATCTTTAATCACCTCACGTGCGTGTGAAAGCTGGGCAATGAATAAGGAAGAGCAAAGAAGAATTAATGCCTTTGAATTATGGTGTTGGTAAAGAATATTGAATATACCATGGACTGCCAGAAGAAGAAAAAGTCTGTCTTGGAAGAAGCACAGCCAGAATGCTCTTTAAAAGCGAGAATGGCGAGACTACCTCACGTAGTTTGGGCACGCTACAAGGACCTGTTCCTGGAGAAGAACCTCACGCTTGGTAAAGTAGAGGTCAGCAAAAGAGTGGGAGATTCTCAACAAGATAGATTAAAACAGTGGACAGTGGCAACAACAATGAGCTCAAGCATAGCGACTGTTGTGAAGATGGTGCAGGACCAGGCAGTGTTTCCTCCTGTGGTACGTTGGGTCACTATGAGTCAGAACTGACTCTGTGGCACCTAACAAAAACAGCATTCCTCTTGATATCCACAAGGCTAGCTCCCTCACTCTCTGCTCAAATATCATTCCTTCAAAGAGGGCTTCCCTAACCCTGTGTAAACAGCTCTCCCACCAGGTCTCTGCTCTGCCATATTTTTCTTACTAACATTTATCACTACCTGATATTGTATATGTTTGTGTAATACTTGTCTCCCACTTTTTTGTCTATAAACTCCATGAAGGCACTGTTTTTATGGCCCTACCCCCAACACCTAGAATTGTGCCTGGCGCAAGGTAGGGACTCAGTAAATATTTGTTGAATGAATGAAGACATTCCTAATCCAGAAATAAGAACTATTAATATTTTAGTCTGTGTTGTTGCAGTTCTACATCTATGAATATAATTCTAATACAAATTTAATACCTTTCAATTATCTGCATTTATAATTGAAATTCATCAGTTTTGCAAGCTGCAAAGAAGAACTGATGCATTTGAATTATGTTGTTGGTGAAGAATATTGAATATACTGTGGATTGCCAGAAGTACAAACAAATTTGTCTTGGAAGAAGTACAGGCAGAATTATCCTTAAAAGCAAGGATGGCAAGACTTTGTCTCACATACTTTCGACATATTATCAGGAGGGACCAGTCCCTGGAGAAGGACATGATGCTTGGTAAAGTAGAGGGTCAGCGAAAAAGAGGAAGATGCTTAACGAGATGGATTGAACACCACTGTCTGCAACAGTGGCTGCAACAATGGGCTCAAACAGTAATGACTGAGGATGGTGCGGGACTGGGCAGCGTTTCCTTCTGTTGTACATTGGGTCACAAAGAGTCAGAAATTACTCGACAGCAGTGGGTTTACCCTTTTTTTTTTTTTTTTTTTTGGTGGCGGGGCGGGTAATCCAAATGAGCTCCAGTAGTGCAGTGGGTAAGTGCTTGACTGCTACCCAAAGGTCAGTGGTTTGAACCCACCAGATGCTCCATGGGAGAAGGATGTGGCAGTCTACTTATGTAAATATTTACAGCCTTAGAAACCCTACAGGGCAGCTCTACTCTGTCCTATAGGGTCACTATGAGATGGAATCAACCTGATGGCAACAGGTTTGAATTGCTTTGGGGATAATCCAAAATAATCTCCCAATGTCATGATCCTTAGCAAAAACCCTTTGTCCTAATAAGGCAGCATTTCCTTATAAGGTTCCAGGGATTGGCACCTGATAGCTTTGGGGGCCATTACTCAGACCGCTGCAGGCCCGCACAGGGTCTTTTCCAACTGCATAGGCAGTAGTTCAGTTTGTAACCTAAAACGCTGCATAATTCAGACTGCAGCCCTGAAGGCAAATGATCTCTTTCCAACTGATGAGAATGTCAGTGTTCATCTCTGAGAGCCATTTTTCACTTGGCACAGAGTCTAAACGGGCTACACTGCAGATACGCGATGGAATGGTCAGGGATACAGATTGCTTCCAGGGTCGACTAGGAAGACGGCTCCCTCACATGACTATGGGCAGGAGACCCCATTTCGTCCCCACGTAGACCTCTCTGTGGGGCAACCTGAGTAACCCATTTGCCGAATGATCTAAAAACCTTCCAGTTTTGAGTGGGCTTCTTTGCTACCTGGGTCACGTGACCCAGCCGATTCAGTGGTGCTTGGAGTGCCCTTTGGCAGGGTCTTATAGATGAATCACGACATAGACCCTTAGAATTTTGGAGCAAAACCATGCTATCCTGTACTGATTACCACTCTCCTTTTGAGAAACATCTTTTGGCTTACTACTGGGCCTTCAGAGCCCTGGTGGTGCAGTGGTTAAGAACTCAGCTGCTATCCAAAAGGTTGCTGGTTCGTACTGACTCCTAGGGAGACAGCTGTGGCAATGTGCTTCTGTAAAGATGAAGGTCTTCGAAACCCTATGGGGAAGTTCTACTCTATCCCGTAGGGTCACTGTGAGTTGGAATCGACTCAATGGCAATGAGTTTGGTTTTGGGTTTACCAGGCCTTAGTAAAGACTGAATGATGTACCATGGGCCACCAAATTACCATGTGACCTGAACTTTCATCAAAAAGTGTACTCTCCGACCCACCATTATATAAATTTGGGTATGCATAGCAGCACTCCACGGCAGTGGTGTGTATGTAATTGAGCTTGAACAGGTCGTGAAGGCAAAGTATATCGCATCAGGAAGTGGCCCAGATGCCCTGATGCAAGGCATGCCTGGCACTGGACAGTTCCTAATCTGAGAGCCTCCAACAGTGGCCAGGCAATCTTGGGGCTTGGGTGCGGAAAAGGGAGGGTCTGAGAACGTCCACCGTGATTGGTCAGTTGTGCTGGTGTCCGTGGTTCACTCTGCTTCGACACTTGATTGGCTAAGACAGAGCAAGAAAGGCGGGTCCTACTGGAACCTGCAGAATAAATGTTTCCCCACCTCAGTCTGTGACAGAGATGGTCCCAGGGCCGGGCCCCAAGTCCAGTCTGCAGGTCTAAAAGACCAGTGGGCGCACGAGCTTGGGGAGGGGAGGAGCTATCCCAGCCTGGCTGAATCTTTGGCCACGCTGTGTAGAGGTCAACTTTCCTGGGCTGGTGTCTGGAACGCGCAGGAGCTCACCAGAGGTTTAGCTGGCACAGCCACTGGAGGTCAGAGGCGCTGGATGCCTTTATATATCAGTGCCCCAAAAAAGGCCAGATCGCAGGGTTACAGGGAAGGGAGTGAGCAGCCTCAATGGAAATAAATACTGTATCCCTCTGCTCTCACCCTAACCACCTGACACCTACCTACTCGTGACAGAACCAGTCAGGTCCAGTTCTCCAGTGGACAAGAAGCGGGGATTTCAGGTGTCAGCTAAAGCCAGCAGGAAGCCAGGGACTCCTCTGAGCATCCTCACCCTCTACCCAGAGAAGCACTAAGACCCTTCTCTGCCACCCTCCCCTCTAGCCTCTTACCTCTCAATGTTGTCCCATCACCCACCCAGTCAGGAGTAACCTGACATTCAGGAGCCTTCCACAACACGTTCCCCAGCTACCTCCTAGGTCTTGTTTGCTGTGGGCAGATATTTTCCCAACAGCCAACTTCCACACTCAAAATACCATCATTCTGGGCCAGCTCTAGAAAGTGCATTTTTAAAG